ACGTCCTGTGAGGGCGTCAGAAGGGAAACCCCGCGAGGAGGCCGGTGACCTGAGTCAGGATCAAGTCTCACTAAGGAGCAGAAGATCGTGAAAGTGTTAGGCACAAGGACAGCAGAAAACTAAATTTAAAATGAAGCTTTTCTTTTTTTAAGTAATGACATTTAAAAGTTTGTCCTGTCAAAAAGAGGCTCCCTCCACTTTCCACATCCTGTTCCTCCCCAAATCTGAGTGTCGAGCTGGGCCCTGCTTCCCTCCCACCGCCGCTTGCTTTGCCGCTCTTCACTCCTATTGCTTCGGACATCCTAATTTGGTTCAGAAGTTCAAACCTTTACACCTGCTGTCCCACCAGCCTACCCCAACAGCGCCGCCCAACAGCCACCTTCGTCTCCCCTTCACTCTCCCTGAAGTGCACCCACAATCTCCCAGGTACCTAAGCCCCAGTGTCTTCCCCACATCTCAACAAGGCATCACATTTCGGCCTTTTTCTCCAAGCTCCTCTTGCCTGCCTCATCATCTCTCTCAGAACGGCCCCTGCAGAGTCCTTTGTTAATTCACCACCTGCCCTTCACAGAAAGCTTTCCTGAAGGTTCTGCTTCTTCCTCCTTGGCTTCCCAGGCCTAGAGTTCTACATTCCCTAACCGTTTTCACCCTTTCCTGAGGGCACAATAGCGAAAAGACGACTTTGCTTGACCCTCTTATTCTCAACTTGACTCCACCGATACCAAGTACTTGCTACTATGCAAGAGACAAGTGCCAGTTACAGCGGAAACTGTCTATTACTAGAAGTTCATGAATTTGCATGCTGGACTATTCATACATTTCTTGTTTAGGTAGTGTGAGTCTCTCCCAAAGAAACCAGTCTACTCTGAAAGCTCTGATCCTGTCAACTTCTCAAAACTACAGGGGTCTGAACCCAAATAGTGGGAAATCCCGTCACAATTCTACTACCCTGAGAGGCCCTGCTTGGGGGCTAGTCAGACCCCTCCTCAGTGTCTTTATTCTTCTATCACAGTAACACTGTGCTATTAGGAAGGATGTAGGGAAAAGATATCATATGAATACACTGTTAGGTGATTGCCCTCTGCCAGTAGCACATATCAAGTTGATCTTCTTGTTTTACAGATCAGGGAACTAAAGTTCACACTGCTACTTAGTGAGACATGTTTAGAACCCAAGTCTGCCTGACTCTGCACATTTTTACCTCTTCATTGACACTGTTTCGCTAACTAGTGACAGATGTTGGGCTCCACAAAGTCACTAACTTTACCCAGCCTCCCTTCCTTCCTCTGGAGGCAGGGAGGAAGGGCAAGAGTGAGTAGGAATTAGGCTTATACTTTAGAGTCCGCCCAGCTATAAAACCTTGTTAAAGAAGTCTAGATGGGCCAATAGCCTACAAATTAAATTCCACCAGGCTCAGGCTCAATTACTATCCATTGGTCCCCAGCGGTCATTTCCCAACATTCTCACCAGAGCTATTAGAAAATAAAATAGAGCAGGGCATTTGTAAAAAGCACACACAGTCACAAAGTCTGGATCTTATTTCTTTTAACACCCCTGGGATTTTAGCCAAAAGCAACCGAGTTTCTAGTTAATCAAATACTTATTTTGTACTTTAGGTCCATTCTGAAGCCACAGTGGTCATGATGGTCATTCGCTCTTTCTTCTTCTATTGTAAAATGATGCAGTTACAAATGCCTGATCACTCAGATAAGCATTAACAAGTTTATTTCTTGCAACTGCCCCTTTGTTTGACAGTTTTATCTTCCTTATGATCAACCTCTGCTGGTACGGCATTAACAAGTTCGCCTTCCCCTCACTCTGGCCATTCCACCCCAACCCCCTTGCCTGCTTTGTCTTCTCGCATTCCAAGAAAAAGGGAGTTCAACAGCAGTTGTTCAAAAAGGCAAGCTAAGGGCCTCCCTGTTGGCACAACGGGTTAAAGTGCAGCACTATGAAGCTCTCCCTGGCCAGGGAATAACCCACATGGTGCAGCAGACCCCTCCTGTCTCCCCGCAGGCCCCCTCAGCAACATATTTCAGTGACCTGCCTGTTCTGCTCCCCACTCTGTCTCTGGTGAATCCTCTCATTCCCCACACCTGTTGCCTGTACCCCAGTTCTGTAAGCATAAATAAATCTTTAAAAAAGGAAAGAAAAAAAAAGGAGCAGGCAGAAATAAAATATTAAAGAAAAAAGTAACTGCTGCACTCAGTCATCCCCAGCTCCGTGCTGATCTCCCATCCCTGCCCACCTCCCATCCCTGCCTTTACAGAACCCTGCCCATCTCCCCCTCTTTTTTCCTGTAGATAAGTAATCCTGCACCCTTCCAGAGAGCAGCGCAGTGGTCTTTCACATGAGCCTGCCGCCCTCCTCACTTGTTGACAAATTAAACCAATTTCCTTTTCCTCAAACTCTGTTTCCTTTATTGGCTGAAAGAAACTGAAGCCACATTCAATAACAAGAATGTTAAGATGGGTTGGCAACAGGGGGACAAAATACCCCTACCATTTTAAACAAGGAAAAAGCCAATATTTTAATTGACAAGCTAAGTGTTTCAGGGCACAGACACTGTTCACTGTCTTCAAGATGATATCCCATTGCCTAGACCAGTAACAGCCATGGTAGACAAGAGATGCCTGACCCATGGTTAGACAACATTCAGAAGCAAGGGGCTCGGTATGGCACAGTTTGGAGTCCAAATTCAAGTTTTAACCATGATTAGCAGAAAGCAACCAATCAGACTCTACAAATCTGCATTTTCTACATTTGTTCTTCAGCCTCAAAAATACTGCCCAAACTCCCATCCCTGGAGAGACTGACTTGAGCTCCTTACCTCCTGCTGTAGTAAGAGGGGGTCGGTCTCCTTAGCTCCCACTGCTCCTAGGACAAAGACAAAACCCCCTCAGCAAGGTCTAGGTGGTCTGGGTTGTGTCTGTTCTCCCCGTTACCACCATCTCTGCCCCGCGGGAAGGGACGGGGGGATCTCCAACCATACCTAACTATACTGGGGAAAAAAAAAAAAAAA